GCAGCCGGCGGTGCACTCTGCAGCGGTCACTCTGCGGGCTTGGGGTGAGCTCGGTGGTGGGTGGGGAGCCCCGTAATTCCTGACACGCCTCTGTTGGAAAGGATTTTACTACGTTCTTCATTTACAGATTTACTGAAACAAACGGGCTGACTCAAAAAAGAGGCTGGTTTAAGTATTTATGTGTTCTGAATATTGCCCTGCTGGCCTGTGTCTTTAACATAAGTGACCCACTAGTTGCCTCTTGCAGCCATCGCTTCTTGTACGATGCTGTGTTGTTTTGGGGGGATAATGGAAGATGTACCCAGCTTGCAGAAACTTTGTGAGATAATTGAAAGTAAACACTAATTTCCATCCTAAAACAGTAAGAACAATCCAATTTCCAAAGCATTTTACGAACTTTTCCAAATTCATTTTACAAACAGCATAAGCGGAGTATTAGTACTGACCCACTGCTGTAGCCTTGCAGTGAGGGCACACACATACATACCCGACAAATAGAAGAGGCAGAAAACATCTGACAGTTTGATTGGTGTGAAACTAACAGGGTTTTCTGAAGTGTGTGATTTTGTCAATAACATACCTGCCTTGCTGTTTTAAGGTTCATATCTGTGTATTACATAAAGTGTTTGTTTGGACTCCAGGATTGCACAAGTAGCACATAGCCACAGAACCGCTATCAGGCAGATACATTTTCTGAGAGTTGTTACCGACCTCTGCTTCTTTCTCCCATCACATTTGGTCCCAAATTGTGCTGGATTGACTGGATGTAGCAATGGTTGGCGCTGGCACAGCTGGGAGATTTGGAGCCCTGCAGAGCGTTCTGCCAGCGCGCAATGGGGGGTCTGGTTTGGCTTGGTTTTTAACCACACCTTTTCTCAGCTGTAACAGCTCCGCTGCGTGTGCGTATCTACTAGTGTTGATCGTCATTAAACATGACATAAGAGAAAAATCCTCTCGCTCCCAACTGCTTTTAAGTACGAGGTTTGATGGAGGCACTTCAAATGCTGGATCAATGCCTCCTATGTGAGTGCAAGCCTCTCTGATTCAATTGCTCATTTTCCCTGCCTTAATAGGTGGCGTCTTTATTGTACTGCCACTACCAACTCAAATATAGCCATGTACAATTTTATCCTTTGTGTCATTTATGTCAATAGGGAATAGAAGCTGTCAGTTCTCTCTGGCCCAGATCTTCAGATGCATTTAGGTGCTTAAATGCCATTAAAATCAATGTGCTGCTGTAAAAGAGTTGTTTATTTTGAAAGCAAAATAAACTGCCCACTGGTGCATACAGAGCACGCTGCGGGGTGGGCAGGTTGTGTCCTGTGGGTCTTATTTCCCAGATGTGAACACAGCTACTTTAGGCTGTCTGTGCCCATGACTTCCACGTACTGTCTGCCCCACTGATGCTCTGGAGCAAGCCTCTTGCATGTACAGCAGGTACTGAACCACCTGTATTAAAGCCTTCTGTATCCAAAGTAAAAGCAGGGATATTTTACCAAAGTATGCCATGTTCCTTCCCAAGCAGCTGATTTATCCTTGCACTGGGAGCAGGGCAAGTACCTGGAGTCTGTAGTGGCCGCAGGCACGGCGATAAGCCACTAGCATTTGTCACTCAGCCCCAATTAATCACTGTTCTGTAGATCTCAGCCTGCATCTGTGGGACTTGGATGCACGCAGTTAAGTGCCCTATTGGTTTGATGATCTGTGCATAGAACACACTGGGAAAGTTGTAAGAAGAAACCTTTGCCATGGTAACTTCTGACCATATATTATACTGTAATGCATTTCTATCGATAATATTCTCCTGTTAGAGTTATGACATTGCCTGGAGGCTCTTGTGAGCCTTTGAGCTGGAGCTGGTCTCGTTATGGTATTCTGGTAGATTAGCTCGATGAAATGTAATTACAGTTATACTTAGTTTTATTCAGCTTCTTAATGTTCTAAAAGGGGAGCTCGGTAGCACCTCAGTTGCATTCATAGGTAGTATTCAGGAGGAGCTGCAGAAATAACAAAGGACAAAAACAAATGGTGAGGAAGGTGATCAGGTTAGAAATGTTAACAGGAAAAAAATGAATCTTGGAAAAATGCAAATACTTTTAAAATTATAGTGATGGAGATATAAAGGAGTGAAAATGAATACTGGATGAATATGAACAGTTGGGAAAGAAGTCAAGAAAAGCAAAATCTTATTTTGAATGGCTATGGTGTGAGGTACAGCAGTGAATCCAGTGTGAGTCTCGGTCACTCAGCCTAAGTTTTGTGAACTTCTGGTTGGGGACAAATCAGTTACAAGATTACATTAACAGATTTTTTATCATTAGCAGATTTTTAGGAACCAGCATCTTTAATTCACCATGCCTTGGAGACTAACCCAAGCATATGATCTGTATTATTGGGCATCTAAGTTCCAGAGAGACAATAGAGGCAAGTCGTAAGGAGTGAAACGCATTCAAATGTTGAGCAGTTCTCTATATTCTGAAGAAAAGGGACTACTTTATATACCAAGTGGCCAAATAATTCAAGAAGAATCTTTCTATACAATAGTTACATGCATAGTGGCTGCAGCCATATCATTAGACTATGTCAAAAAGCAGTTAGTGGAATGAAAACCTGAAAAATAATTTTAAAAGTAGTCGAGGTGGGGTGGCTGCCATCTTTTCCTTCTCTAAAAAAATCCCTTGCAATGCCATGTTTGGATGCATTGACCAACATCAGTATTATTTTTTGGTCTACCTAGTGTACAGGGAAGAGCGTGTGCAGCAGGAGGGTTTGTTCCCGCACAGTCTGTGTCCATACTGGCGGCTCTGTGTGTGTGTTAGGGGAGTAAAGGCCAATGGTACGGGCTGCTTTTGGGGAACGAAGATGGTGAACATTTTCTGATGGTTATTTCTTCCTCACAGGAACTTTCCCACACATAGAACTTCATTTAGGAAGTTTTTCCTCGTAGCAGGGGAACAAAAATACTGGGTGTTCTCTTCATTGCAGGCACTTAGAGACTTTTATAGTTAACTTGCCTTAATGGAAAAGTTTGAACTCAGACTGTGAGCTCGACTCCATAGGCTGTAGTAAGACATTTTGAGAGCAGATGGATTGATTTGACATGTTTACAGCCTCTTACAACTTTTCAGATTACAATTCTGCTTCTGGACTGACAAATCAAATTCATAAAGTTCATTAATTTTAATTATTCCTTCCTGAATATATAAAAATCTCATTCATTTTCAGGTTGTATTTTTCTCAGATTTTCAACTAATACTGAAATAACTTTCAGGATGGCAACATGAATGTATCCAGGCTGCTGTCAAAGATGTTTCCAGTGAATCTGTATGATCTCAGTGTTACATTTTATCTGTTTTCTCTTGGAATTTCAGAAGGATGATTCCCAGAGACTTCTGGAAAGCTTCAACTCTGATGAAAAAGAGCACACACTCATGAAACGTAAAGCAGAACCCTATACGTCAAAAGAGGAAATGGTGCTGGAGGTAAAGCTCTGCTCTTGTTGGTGGATGTCCATTTTGCTGCATGTAGCAACGAGCACATTCAGGGTCTGATCCAAACTGTCTTAATTTTATTTGGTTTGTAACTGAGCTCTTAAAAAGTGTTCCGACAAAGTGTAAGCAGAATGGGAGTTGATGGCTGCTTAAAATGCAACCATTTCAGGTACTGGTTCCCTTTATGAATTTCATTTCTCTTGGGGGACTCTTTTTGGATATTTTAATCAAGATCCTGAGCTCTTTTTGGACAGAGGCTTCTCTGGTTTTGTCTCTACATTGTCCTTAATTTCAAAAGGCTGGTGGGAAAAGTTAACACTATTGACATAAGAAAAAGTTCTTAAGTACTGAAATCAGTGCTGATAGTTTATAGTGGATTCTTTCCTGGGAAAGGAGATTTATTAAAGAAACTTTGACAGTAACAAAGTTCCCTCATCAGGTGCAATCTGGAACAAATACTTCTTTTTCTAGAGCCTTCTTAGAGGATCCAACTCTCAGTTGGACTGAGTAGATCAATGGAGAAAGAAAGAATAAATGAAGTAAAATGAGGATTTTTGCGAACAGCAGCATCTTTGATGGCTTTTTTGCATAGGAAGTTCTCCCATCAGGTACCAGTTGAAGATACAGTGTAGAGTTCAAATGACCACAAGTACTGCAACACCAGTGTGGTTAGCTGGGATTCAAGGACAATTAGAGAAACAATTTGGAAAGAAAAGTAGTAGAAGGTACAAACTTAACCCACCCTTAATCAAAAATTCAATTAACTTTTATTTGTGTGTGATGATCTCAAAATAACTTGAGAACCAGTCCTACTGTGTAGTTGTTAGATCACTGCCTTTCACCCAAAGCTGATTTGACTGCTTTTGGTGAAACTAAAGGTTTTGAGTTAAACTGCACATTAAAAAAATGTGCCGTTTAGTTAACTCATTCAGTCTGTTATACATAAATTAAATACATACAGAAAATGTCGATTAAACCCAGCCAGTCTGGTGCTTAGCTTGTAACAAGAACTAGTTTCAAGACAAAAAGAAGATAGACGATATTGTAAACATTTTACTGTTGGGTTAAATACTGACATGTAACTAATCTTCATTTCAATTTTGTGATCAAGAATGGTGACAAATCATGGTTGGTCATTTTGCTTGAATAAAGTACAGCATAACAAGTGAGCATGGATTAAATTCTCTTTTGGAGTGTAAGTCCTGTGGGAGAACTTATGCAATGATATAACTTTATGCATATTACCAGTCCTTTTGCAATGGGATCACAGCCTTTTAAAGGTGATCATTAACAACTATATCCATTTCCCAAACACGGTAGCTCATTTAAACACATTAAGAAGTAACCTTGTTATTTGAAGGGACTTTCTCACACCTATTTGTCTAACTACTGAATTTGGTTTTGGGTTTGGTTTTTTTTAATATTCATTTGTTCCCATTCCCAGAGGCTTTTGCTGCTACTAGCATCAAAGTGACAGTTCATGAAGAAGCATAGATGCAGAATGCTTTTAGTTAGGTTAGAGCACTTCAGAAAAACAAGTATTTTCGTTCTGAGACCTTCCACATTGCAATAATACCATAATTACCATATTAATAATAACTGTGTATTACTCGTGCCTGCTGAGAAGCAGAATGTGTTAGTTCTAGCACACTGCGATACAGCTTTATGGCGTTAGAGTGGACCTGCTCTGCCTCAAGCCATTGTAGAGCAATGGATTTGATGGCTTCTGTCCCTGAATATGTACTGCAGCAGTGGGAGTGCTCAATATGAGCAAGTTTTTTACACGCTGACCCCATGCTTTTAACTTTATCAGTGAATCCAAAAAGGAATTCTGGAAATAAATGAAATGGAGATGAAAAAGTGCAATGATAAAAGAGTCTAATGAATGATGTAATTTGCTCGTCTCTTTCCGTCTCTAATTTTAGACTCTGTGAGTGCTTTGATATTTCCTAGAAAAATCTACATAAAGAAAATTGAGTTTTGACAGATCAGATTCTTTCATTTCATCTGAGAAAACAAAAAAGATTAGAGTAGGAAATCTCCTAAAGCTTAGCTTTAAACATTCTATCTGTTGCTTGTAGCCAACCTTTTATTAAGCCATATGTAACCTCACAAAACAAAGCTGATTATTCCATTGTTCCAGTGCATAAAGCAGTGGCTAGGAAAGAGGAGAAGCAGAAAGTCAGATTACGTGATACAGCAGATTGTATGAAAAGAATGCATTATCTATAAAAAGTTCTTTGGGAGAACGTTGGTATTTTCTTTAGATTATAGGTAAGGATTGTACTATAAAAGTTCTTCCTGGAAAAAATGACTAGCTTTGTTTAATCTATTGTTTCTTTATTTAAATCGGAAGTCAGAATTTATAGCCATGATGATATCTGTGGAGCTTATCCTTTAGTAGTTTCTATTATTAAGATAATTCCAGTCTCTCATCTGAAATCTTTAGTTGCTGCTAAAGAGGGGGGAAAAAGCAAAATGAAAATAACTTGTGAATACCAGCTATTGCCTATTTTCCCTTGCAGGAGTAAAAACATTTTGGATCAGTGGTAATGACAGAATTCTCTTTTCTGGGCTTCATACTTTGAATGAGTCTTATGAGAAGACTTGTTATGCCAAAGTAGAAACAATTGACATTGTTTCTACTAAAACAAAAAGTTACTTATCTAACAAAAAGTTACTTATCAATAGGAATTTCTAAGTTGTGTAACTGAAAGGGGCATGCAGTACTTACAGTGAACAACAGTCAGGTCCACTGCTGTTCCCAAATGGTTTTCTGTTCTTTTCCGTACAGGAAAGTGAGTCTCCTCTGAACAGTAACGTCACGGCATTTGCATTAAAGGCAAAAGTGATCTATCCCATCAACCAGAAATTTAGGGTAAGGTTTTAGATTCTACTTGTAAAAATTAATGACAATCATTCTGTGTCAGAGTAAATTGCAGAGTCAAGTACTGCCAGTCTGCTTCATAGGGATCTTTGTTTATAGTCCATTGACTCAGGGCTTATTCTGTAAGGCATCAGCTGCTTTCAGCTCCCCCTGAAGCCTGCAGTGCTTTACATGGTGTCCGGTCAATTTTCACTGCAGTCAAGAGACTTTTTCTTCCCATTAACATTAATGGAAGTTGGGTCTGTCCAAGGACACATAAGAAAAAACCCACAAGGATCTGCCCTGCAGTAAGAAAGCATGCACCAAGCAGATAACCACCACAGAAGAATGCTTTTCCTGGCAATGCAGAAACCCGTCGGTATGATGAATCTTAGTTTATGTAGAAACACTTTTGCTGTGTATGTTGTTTAATTTTTCACTTGAAAGCAGGCACTGCAAATTGATGAGATGTTTATCTCCTTATTGTGTTGTATTAATTGACCTTGTAAATTTTCTTTGATTGTAGCCTTTGGCCGATGGCTCATCGAATCCATCTTTGCATGAGAATCCAAAGCAGGCGGCTCTACCTAATCAGGTCATGGAGACATCTACGTCAGGCAGCCTGGGATCCCTCAGCCAGGGAGGCAAGGAGGACTGCAGTTCCTCCACAACAATACATTCCACAACAAGCGATGACAGATTTCAGGCTCGAGCCTTCCTCAAGGTGACCAGCTTCCCTGAAGTGCTAATGTGTGAGAGGTAAGCAGTAAGCCTGCCCTTGTGTTTGGTCATTTCCTAACGTGCCCCAGTGGTTTTCAGAACAATCGCTAAAGGTCTGATGTAAACCAGAGGCTGAGCTTGAACGCATACATTCACCACATAGAAAGAGTACTATCTGTGTATAACCCTAAAAAGTGTTTGAGGAGACTGAAGAAATAGATCATGTTTTATATTGAAAGTCTGTTTTTTATGCAATTCTGGGAAGCAGAAGTTTGGCAAAAGCAGTCTCGTAAAAGGTACATCAGTGTTATAATAAAGAGATCCCTTTGGTTTGGCTCGTATGCTCAGTTCACGCATGGAGTGGCGTGTTCAGCTGTGGATGGAGTCCTCTGCACTGAACAACGTCAAGTCACACAACAGGTACCTTGAGAACAGCAAGGGGCATTTTAATGGGAACCACTCACGTCATATTGTGGGAAAATGATCCTTTCTCAGAGACTCCAGTGATGAGCAGGCAGAGCTAATCAAAATGGATTATCAGCTCTGATTTTCTTTCAGCTACACAACAGTGAGATAACCCTAGGTGAATACATACTTGTCTGTAGTCTCATTAGCAAGAATAAAGAAAATCGTGTTTTTGTCACTGTGGGGGCTGGGGAGGGTACTAGTAATGAAGAATATTTTCAGAATGCCCACTCTTATTATAGCTGTTTTAATTTAAAGCTTTGTTTTCCTTTTGTTGTAGTCACTCATGCTGATACTTACCTTGCTTTTTTCTAAAGGGAGCTGCAACTCCAACTTTGTTAAAGCACTATTTTGTTTTGCTTACTTTTATATAGAGGTATTTTATCTGGAAGAGAAGACAATGTAGAAATAAAGTGACTTGACTGGTGTTCTAGGAGCAATGCTTTTAGGAGAATTTAGTGATTAGATTAAACTATTATACGGTGTTGCTCTTTTATGTGACCTTCTCTTAGATTGATATTAATACTTTTTGTATCTTTGTTTTAGCTTTGATGTTAAGCTCTGCCTTTGCAGTCTTATGTTAAAAGATCTCATGCTTCTTGATACTGAACTCAGAAAAGAAAAACATGTGGTAGGTACTCATGTTTCATTTATAGCTGTTTGTTTTGAACATCGTAGCTGAATATGAGTTTAGGAATAACAAACTACCAACTAGCTGGAAAGTAGTGTAGCAGAGTTGCATCTTTACAGTATTCTCTTTATTTTTTCTCTCTGTTCTGCATATATATGAGCTTCACAAAGGAGTAAAATATAATGGAATATATTGGACTGTGAAATACAGGAAGTCGGACTGGATAATATAAAAAATTGGTTTAAAACTTTACTCCAGCACTTGAGGGTCATAAAAATAATAATAAAAAAAATTAATAGATGAGTTTATGTTTTAAGTATAATGCTTCTGCATAGCCACTTCAAGGACTCCAAGTCCTTTGAATAAAATGGAAAATTCAGTTCAACTGAATCGATACCATTGTCATAGGTACAATAGTCTAGATTTTGTATGACAGAGGAATTAAAGTACCCATTAAAACCATAGATACCTAACTATATCAAGTCACAGCACCCAAAGCTGACAAAGAAAAAAAAAAAACCAAAACAAACTAAAAATGGATATATATAATTGTTTATGGTGACTATTTATGATCAAGGACAAAATCATTACCATTACTGAATTTTAGCTCAATTAATATAAAGCTGGACATAAAATATATAGCTTTCTCCTCCACTGCTTTCACTACAT